GCTTTTCACGCTACTCACAGAGTCCCATTATCACATCATTAAAAGAAGCCCAAACCAGAGATGATCTAATTAATCAAAATAAACGGTTGCTATCCAGAACAGAGGGAAACTTTAGCCTCTGTCTGTGAACATAAACAGCACTAAGAAACAAGCAAACCTCTATTAACTAAGCAGAAAGGACAATGCCAGTGAGAGTTGTTTGATGTATGAGCAATTCTTGTAGCAGATCTATTAAATGTGTAGCATTTTCTCATTTTTGTTTCCCTCTGCTGAGTTATGAAACCATTTTTAAAATTAACACAAAACGTTTATCAGTAAATTCATTTGGTAGCACTTAATAAATAGCAGGTGAGATTCTGTGCTGTCTCTCTAATGAACAGTACAGAACTCACAGCCTGGCAGGAGGGTGAGTGGGGGTGTCACCAAGGTGGACTTTAAACCTCCTCCCAATCCTGAGCTGCTCCAGGAACTAGAAAGGCCCTTGGTGGAACTTAGACAGATAGAAATATATAATTATTTTGAGGACTGTAGTCTTTGCAGGTGGCTATAGAATCACCCCCTTATATAGAAATGGATTCCTAAGACAGTTATTGGAGACTGACATGTTAGAGGCCCCACAATATGAGATAATATGGCTTCTTCACCATCATAAGGGTTAACATTTTACTTTCTTAGCTTAGATTCTAGAATACAGTTCTGAGGCAACGGGTTGATGTTATGACAAATTCTTCAACCATCAAACACATGGGGGCCTGATAGAAAGCAGGAAAACCACCATTGCAATGTACCCTGCTCTCTGGCAGAGGATGCCCTATTGTGGATGAAAGCTATATAAAGTGTTCAGTTTATTTTTTAATCCAGGAAAGGAACCAATCTGTGCTCTTTCCTTTAAATGCCAAATTCAAGTATGTAGTCTTTTGCCAGAGTGTGACCGTTTATACTGGAGCAGAGCTGGTTGAAAAAAATGTCAACAGCTTTTTTTTTTTTTAAGTTGCAAATTCATTGGACTCTCCAGGTTTCATTTAGACATTCCAATGCAAACCATGCAAGGTTCCATTAGGCTTCAAAGGCTACCTGGTTTGATGTCAGCTCCTCTGCCTGGCTCTCCAGTAACTTGTTTGGTAGGCTGAAAGCCTGGAAGTCCCGGGTCCCAGCACTAACAGGTCCCCAGGGCTCTCAGGATCCCCAGTTCCGGGGCAGTCCATGAGATGGACTGCCAAGCTCCAGGCCAGCCTGCTATGTGGACTGTCCCAAACCCAGGGCTTGCAAGGTCCCATCCGCTGGCCTGGCAGTCTGCTGGGGCTCTGGACAACTCTGGAAGCCTTGGAAACTAAATGTTATTTTGGTGTTTCTGACACAAAACTTTTCCAGATTTCTGTTCTGCAGCGAATGCAGACATTTTTGGGTTTTGGTTTCAATTGGAACAAAATCAAATTCACAAATGGAATTACCATTCTCTATCCAGCTCTATACTGGAGTTTTTTAAGGTGGAGAGTGCCCAGCCTGTACATTTAATTATGCCATGCAAATGATGTATGCATACAAATAAAAGATTGCAAACCTGAATTTATGCATCTTTACATTAAAACAACTGAAAATTATTTCTCTCCTGCCACAATGCCTGGATGTGCTAATGTGGACAAGTCAGAAAGATACACACCTTGTGACTAACTTCTCTTCAGGTTGTTCTCTCTCTAAAAGATGCTGGAAATAATCCTCCAGAGCCTGAGCAGTTAATGTTTTCTTTAGGTATGGATAATAGAGGGGATGTCGTGCTATCACACCTGTAACATGTGACACAGTTAGAATACAACCAATTTAATCACGTTATATTTTTATTTTTCAAAACTGACTAAGATCACCTGTCATTTGAAACTGTGCATATGGGTCCTTGTTAATCAACAGCTACACAAAAATAGCTAGAACAACAGATTAATGCTCTGCAGTGGAATGGAGGTCTAACTAGGTGCATGACATGTAGGAATGCTGCCAAGCTGTGTGTTGCTATTGCAACTTTTTTTCTGGTTGAGGACAGTCCTTGCCAATTCAGGAAGGATAAAGGACAAAGGGCAGGTAAAAGGAGTGTGGTTCTTTCCCCAGGAGTAACTCATGAAGTTTGGAGAACGCATTATGATTAGCCCTCAGAGCATGGTAGGATCAGTCATGGAGGTAGAAGATGTATCTATGGTTTTGCCCTCTCCATGTATGAGATCTGTTATCGGGGCGGACATAGCTCCATAGTTCTTAAGGTATAGCAGATTCCCAAAAAGCTGGTTTAACTCTACAGTGAAGCTGAGTGTCTCCAGTGGGTCAGTCAAGCAGAACGTTAGCGTCTCATACTAATTCGGTTGCCTAGACCGACCTTGGGATTTGCAGACTTTGATGTTACTTTAGCTTGGTAGAACAAGGACTGTTATTTTAAATTTCATTGAAGAAATATTGTCTCTGAATATTTCAAGAAAGTCCATGAATTATGTCTTTCATTCATTGTTTCGCAATGCTATGAAGCCACTGTGTGATGTTATACAACAGAAATCATCAAATTTCATCACTATTGAACAGGAAACAATTGTACACACAGGGAGAAGAATGTTGGTCTCTTTACAAATAAATTAATAAATCTACTTTATCAGTCATAGCGTGACACCTGTTAGCAAATCAAATCCCAAACGCACCTTTAATTCATAATGAGCTTTGAACATCACACACTCATCTTCCAACAAGTAAGAGAGCCATTTGATGCTTGCAGAAGTAAGGAACAGAAGACATTTTTTTTAAAATGTAAAAGGCATCTAATCAATATAATGAGTTTGCAGCACAGGCATACAACACTTCTTGGTGTCAACATGTAATTAAAACAATTACTTACACGTAAACAGAGATTTTAAATTTCCAAACTCTATTTTTTTAAATTTATATATATACATATATACATACAAACACACACACACGTTATATGATTTAAATGGAGAAAAAACAGTATGTGATCATGTAATTATTAATTTAAGTGCATATGCACAAGAAAATAGAAATAAGGTTGCACAGACAACTTTAATTCTGGCATTTCCTAGCTTTTGAGTTCTTAACTTTGCAACAACAACATTCTTTTAACAAAGGGTGTGTGTGTGTGTGTGTGTGTGTGTGTGTGTGTGTGTGTGTGTGTGTGTGTGTGTGTGAGAGAGAGAGAGAGAGAGAGAGAGAGAGAGAGGGAGGTATTGTATGCAATACAATATACAGATATTTTATATGTACTTTATATTTAAACA